CGCGGCCCCCGGCTGTTCGGTGTCGTCCGGCGCTGCGGCCGCCAGCTGTTTCGGAACCACGGCTGATAGCGGGACACCTCGTCGCCGCAGCCCAGCGCGCCAGAGCTTGACGGTTCTGCGGTGGACTCCCCTGGGGAGATGGCCCCGGGAGCCGTAGGGGACGTCGCAGGCCCCAGGGGAGGTGATGCTCTTACCATCTCTCTTAGGGTCTCTTGGCAGCTTGCCTATCCTAAAACTTAAGCTACGTTCAGTTTAAGCGGCGCTGTAGTTGCCCAAGGCAGCTCTGCTTGGATGGAGTCGTCCATGATGACTGGTCTGAGCAGTTTGGCTAGTCACCTCCCCGTAATCCAGCTTTTGCCCCAAAGTCTTCCAGTATGTGTTTATTGCCTTTTTTCTCCTCATTGAGTTTCACTTGGTAGGTCACTTGTCTTGTGGTGCTCATGGCAGCAGGGACAGGACTGCCACTGTTGCCATCAGTGCCTCTACACAAACGCCAGTGCTGAGCACCTGCTTTATCGTGAGCATTCTAGGTTTTGAAAATTTTTTTGTGCTTTGCTGCTTGGCAGAGTTCTTAAAATTAGGCAAGAGCTGTGGTTTTAGGTAGTGGTTCAGGACATTGAGTCACACCTGCCCTTAATGGTGGGTGAATGTGTAGTTCAGCCACAAGACAGAGGAAACACTTCTTACTCTAATGTCAGTGTTGATCGAATGTGTCGTCTTGACAACAATCAAAAGTGGAATGCTGAATTGAGGAAGATGGAAAGAAAAAAGTACAGACAGTGGGACTCTTCATGGTTTTTACCAAGCTTAATACTGGAAGTACTGTACCTCGAGTTACCCAAGTGTTTTATCCTTCACATCCATTACTACTACTTAGTTTCAGAGCACTAATACAGCCATCGGTGGTCTGCTTGTATTAATACTCAAGCTGGCTATAACATTTCTGGAAAGGAGGTTAAGGATTATTCTGAAGCTTCCAGAAAACTTAATGTGAAAGGAGATTTTTCTTGTGTGAAGCTTGGAATGAGTGAGATCCTTTCATGTGGACCCCTGCAAGGACACTAGGTGTGGGTGGCTGTTGGACACTATTGACTGTAACGCCCATCATGTGGGCTATTGGTATCCGACTAATGGACACTGTAGTTTCTGTCCACTATTCTGAAGCAACATAACTGCTTAGGTACTGTACTTTCAGGAGATCTTGATGTTAGGGTAACTTGCTGTCAGACTAACAGGCTGAGCATGAGCTCCTCGTGATTTTTTGGCTAAGTATAAGCTGCGAGGCAATGTTACCTCTATATATGGCAGTAATGAGCCATTACTGGACTACAGTGTCCAGTTCTAGTGTCTGTGCATTAAAAAAATGATGCTGACAATTTGGAAATGGTTCAGAAAAAAGCTGCAGAAGTATTTAGACATCTGGAGACAGATTGTACAGAGTGAGGTAAATTAAATGGGTTGAGCTGCTTATCAGATTCTGATACAAGCACCAAGAGGTACTTGTATCAGATTGTAACTATCCATGTAAGGAGAAGAAAGCAGCTCATTAACAGGCAAGGGTGCAGGCATTAACAGGCATTCAGTGACAGGAATTTGAAATTGGATGTTCTCAGATAAGAAACAAGGTGCATTATTTAGTGTACTAATGTAGCTGGAAAGAAGAGCTGATTCTGTCTCTTTTAAACTTGTAAAAGTCTAAAAGCTCTAACTAAATATTAGCTAGGAAATAAAGGTTTTATGTGGAAGGCTAGACCTGAGATTTTATTAATATGCTTTGAGACCTCAATGAATGTGAATGGCAAATCCTTATGGTTCTCCAGAAAAAACAAAATACTGCTAAGCCAAAGATATGCTTGCAAAGTATCTTATTAAATCTGTGTGTGCTCTTAGGAAGTAGGTATTGGAATGATCAAATCAACCTCCTTTACACAGTAATAATTAGATAAGTTTCCAGTTGGCAAAGATGTTCCCTAATATTCACTGTTGATGTTAGTAAACAGGATTTGCATGGGGTTTTTTTTTAGATAATATGCCACAGCTCTTCTAACTTCACAAATAATCTGCTGGATGCAGCCGAATGACTGAATGAATGTTGTGAATCATTCCCTGAATTTTCAAAAGGCAGATTTATCTTGTGTGTGTGTAAGTGATGCTGTATGCTTTTGGAAATTTGTTTTTAAACAGACTTCTCTTCTTAGGTGTTGTGTTTCTGTATTGTCTGCACAGGTGTGGTGCAAGTGCTTAAGAGAACTGATTATTACCAGCTGACACAACACATTGTTTGGTATCCCATGATACTGGACTGTTAGTTGACTGTGTAGATCTTCTGTATAATCCCTGGCTGCAGTTTTAAATTGCTAGAGCAATTTTAGCATTACTACAAAGATCTTTTAAATGGGGAGCAAAAAAAAGGTCAGGTAGCCTCTTACTTGTTCAATCCCATGACCTGGAAAGTGAAAATAAAAATTATATTCTACTACAGCAAATTTTAGTTAAGATACATTTAAAACATTTTAAACAACAAATATTTTAAAAATGAAAATGTGTATGATGAATGGCTTTAGATACTGAAATTTGTTCTTTGGTATTAGAATATACAGCATTCCCATTTAAGTGAATGAGAAGTCTGCCTGCAAAAGCAGAACCCAGGCACAAGCAATAACAGAATACATGCTGCAGAAAGATCAGATAAGTGTACTCTGGATTCTTGCCCAGGCTCTTCTTTTGTCTACCAGTGTATTGGATCTAGCTATTCACTGCTGAAATCCATGAGTGAATAGCATTGATTATAGCTGTTACAAGTCTGAACACAGTATCTGAGAAACAAGAATCATAATTTTATGAATCTTTTTGCCCATTTAATGTGAAGTTGCTATATGTATCTTGAGCCATATGGATCTGCTCTTCAAGGTTAATGGTAATGCATAATTTTTGTAGGACTGTGACCTTGGACCATAAAAGTGATAATTTTTGATAATGATAATGGTTGAATATTATTCTGAAATGTTACACTACATAGTGTAGTTTACTATGATGGCTTAGTGTTTTGCAGTATAGATCTGTTTTAGTAGAAAGAATTTGCCTTGACTAATTTTCTTTTGCTTTTCAGGAAAAGAAATGGAACAAGTTCAGTAACTGTCGAGTCTAACATCTTACTGATATCTTGAGGAATCTTACAAATGCTTATTCTGAAGTGAGAAAATGACTGCAGATGTAGAAGAAGGTGCAGGTTGTTGGAACAGAATACCTGTTAAAAAGTGGCACATCCAGTAGTTAATTTGGAAGTTGTATAAAATAAATATACCTGTTATGGTACGGTTCTGGAGTGGAGCTAACTCTATAGCACACACGTAGCTCTGAAAGGAGGAAAAAAAAAAAGAACTTTCTGTTTTTCTGAATTATGGAAATTTTTTGGAAGACGTGGACGTGGATTTTGAGCCTAGTTATGGTTTCATCGGAATTTCACAGTGACAACAGGCTTTCATATAGTTCTCAAGGTAGGAGACCAAGCTCTGTAGCAGACAAGAAGCATCTATTTCTGCATTGCGTTTGGGTAGTATTGTCTGTACAGCAGTTATATAATTCATGAGATCATATGGGCTCTGCTTTTAGCGTTATCATGATTCATTGTCATGGAAGTTTAAATACAGCAAATTTGATTAATTTTTAAAATTTCTGTTTGCTTTTAACTGTAGGAACGCCTTGCAAATTATATCTAGTAAAATGTTGTACTTAGTAATAGTTTAGAGACCTGCCATAACAACATTAATATGTTTTTAGACTAGAAAGTAGTGATGTAGCCTTTCTTTGATCCATTAATATTTACAGATTTTTAATGAAATGAAGAGCCTTGTACATGTTTTTACAATAATGCTTTACATTACTACTGCTGTTATTCTTGCAGGTGAATCTAATAGCTTTTGTCTTTGAAAGGAATCACTGGGAAGCATGTGTTCTTGTTAGGTTAGAATTTTGCCCCAAATGTTGATGTATTTTGGACAAATAGGAAAAGATAAGTAGTTAAAAACTTCTTTTATTTCCAGTGACATCAAGTTAGTAGGAAACTGAACACATTTTCTTGACTTAAAAATAAATAAAACAATGTTTTGTTTTATTTACTAATATGCTACATTGTGCGTTTACCTGCAAATTATTGTTACTCATGAGGGTGCTTAGCCAAATATGGTTTATGTTTATACTGCTACTTGTTGTTTCCTCTTATATTTTCTTCTTTTCTATGCCCACTCCCTGGACTGTCTTACCTTGTGATTACAAAGAGGAATTCCTGTCTTACCTTGAACACTACCAACTAACAATCCCAATAAGGGTTGATCAAAATGGAGCCTTCCTCAGCTTTACTGTGAAAAATGCTAAACCCTCAAGGAGGAGGAGGAGCACAGACCCTTATGACCAAGAACTGGCAGCATCTAAATTATTTTTTAAACTTTCTGCCTATGGCAAGCACTTTCATTTAAACCTGACTCTCAACACAGATTTGGTGTCCAGACATTTTACAGTAGAATACTGGGGGAGAGATGGACCGCAATGGAAACACGATTTTTTAGACCACTGTCATTACACAGGATATTTGCAAGACCAACACAGTACAACTAAAGTGGCCTTAAGCAACTGCAATGGTCTGGTAAGTGCATGTTACATGTTCTAGAATAATTGTGTCCTTGTCCTCTGTAAGCTACAGGAAAGGCACTTAATTGGCTTATCTTTCAGTTTTTTGGGTCCCTGGGGGAAGCAAGCAGACAGGAAGGTGTGGAAAACCCCGAAGACCTGATCGGAGTCCTGGGGAAAAGTAGTCATTAGTTTTTCCAAGCTTAATTCTAAGTATTATGAACCAATTCTGTAGTCCTTTAGCAGGCAACATTTTCAATTTACACAGTGCCTGCACTAGGGCTGCGAGATTTGGTGTGTGCTGAGGTCCCTACGAGGTATAAAAATGTTGCAAACTCAAGGAGCGGGAGTAGTAGGAAACAGTGCATCCTTCAGGATGCCAAATCTCTCCACATTGATTGAAGTGAACACCCACTTGTTGTCTTTGAGAATTTGGGTTTAGAAAATTTGAGTAGATGACAGGGAAGAGGAATTGCTTGGTGTAGAAGTCAGCATTGCTATAAATTCAAAGAGTGAAAAGGAAAGTAGGCCCTTTGCAAGTACCAGCATCAGAAAGTAATTTTTTACCTTTTGTAGAAATGCCTTGTTTATAATTTTTAAACAGTTGCATTTAAAAGTGGGATTAGAAATTCTCATATTTCATTCACATCTTTTATTTTACTGTTGATCTCTTGATCATGTGCTGGTAGTACTTGCATGGACAAAAAGCTTCTTTTATTCCCAGCAGAAATTAGAAAACAAACACACAAAAAAACCCCACCCAAAACAGACTATTGAGTTACAAATCATTAAAATAAAAGGGCAGGACTAGTAAATTTGAAATTAAGAGCCAGTAATTTCTCTAGTAAAAATATATGTATATATTACGATTATTAATTGTGGTTTTAATTAGAATGGAACACTGGTCAGACTTCTTCTTAGGAACAGACAGATTTAACGAATTGCTAAGGGAAAGAAAGATTACACAAACTTGCTGAACTAATTCCCATTTATTCTTGGAAGTGCTGTTGAATAACGCAACTTGAGATGTTATTTACAAAGAAACGCCAAGTGCTTCAGACCTAGATATGTTGCATTACCCTCAGCTACTTGTCATATCCCTGATACACAGACCAGGTTAACATTTTGGATTACTCTTGTGGAAAAAGAATTTGATGGGGATTTCCATGGCTAAGTGAACACTTTTAAAAAAAGAAGTAGCTAAAATGGTGTCCATTGAATGTGGTATTAGAGTTTAGTTCATGCAGACTTGTAGTGGATAGGTCTGAATTCAGTACAATTTTCACTAGTTTTGCAGTTTCCATGTAATAACTTTTTTTTGGTCATAGTTATGTAGGCTGTTAAACTGCTGTGCTCAACCGTTTTGCTTTTGGGTTCTTTTCAGATAAAAGCACTATGGACACCACATCCCCACTTTCAGGACTGATTTCTTTAAAAGAGGCTGCATGCCTCTCTATATCCAGAGTTTCTGCCAGTTGAAGCATAAACTGGTTGGCCCCCTTGGAGCCTGCAGTCAGTGCCATGGTGCTCTCATTTCAGTTCCTCTCTGACCTTGGCCAAGGACTGAGCCAGTCTCTTGCCTTAGCTGACTCTTTCGGTTTCCTTTCATGTCAGGAAAACGAGTGAGATGGAACAGGAGAAAGTTGATGTTTTCTCAACAGCTTTGCCCATCTCTTGGTCCTCACACACTTATTTTCTTTGAAGAGTTTAGTAGCATGGAAGGTCTCATGGTGAAGCAGAATTCTTTTTTTGCTTCTGTACCTGATGTCCTGAAGTGCCATCTGGCATGCCCATTGCTGTGTGTTTCCCCTCTGCCCTCGGTGCTGCTGTTCAGCGGGAGCGGAGCTGCTTGTCGTGGGGTTCTGGGTGCCAGTACGTTAACATAGTGTTTGCAAGTTAACTTTAGTGTCAAGTGCTTTCCAGTTAAATTGTCACCTTCAGTGCTTTTGGTTGCTGTCTGTTCTTACGTATATTTCTGTTGTGGTATTAAGGCAGCCTTAAGCCAGGCTCTGGCCACACCACGACTGGCGCTTTTGATTTCGTCATGCTCCTGCTGTTTATTTGGGACTGCAAGTGTCATGTGTCCATTGCTCCCGCCATGCTCCAGAAGCATTCACAAGGGGTGGCACAAGACTTTCTCAGAGAGGCAGGAACCCTGCAGAGGGTTACAGTATCATCCTTTACTGTACAGAAACACCTTGATCATCCAGTGTTGGCAGGGCCTTCCAGAGCACTGAGTTTGGGAGGTACCACTCCATTGAAATAAATCTATCACAGAGTTATTTTTAAGTGACGATTCCTACTAATGGATATTTTTTAATACAGCTGCTGGTTAGAACACGTTTAATAGGACAATTGGCAGTCAATATTGAAGACAATTTTACTTGTATTAGAATTTGTAATAGTTCAGAGTATGTTGTGTTTAAGGCATTAGTTGTATTTTGCAGTCTGACTGTTAGTCTGTAAGAGACTTCCAGTCACATTCTGCATAGTCCTTGGTTCACATCTGTCTCAAACTCGGCAAAGTTTTATTCTAAAACAAGTAGTAATCTTTTGACAGTATTGCTCACAAGCAAAATTTTAAGAATTCCTTTTATTCCACTTGTCCTGCTAGGCTTTAGTATTGCCAAATAAGTGATCTTTTTTTTCCCTTAGTGAATGTTTTGAGTTGTTCTGTTCATTCAGGGTGGTCAGGTAAGACTATGACCTAATTAACATGTCATATGACTTTGAAGAACCCTTGTAGTTCATGAGATGAGTTCTAGTGCAAGGAGGGCTTTTTCTTCAGTTTCATTACAATAAAATTGACAAGCAGTCAGTTCATTTCCTTGAGACTGTTTCCTGTTTCAGCCTCTCCCTCTATATTTCTCATTACCAAGTGCCCCAGAATTACAGACTGCTACTTACTGAAGTTTCATTCCAGCAGTTTCCATCTGCTGGGCCCTGTTTATGCTATAAATTGTCTGAAGTTATGAGGAAAGCTCTATAATCCAGTGAGCAGTTGTGAGGAAATTGAAGGTCTTGTCTGGCAGGCTTTTTGGCTTCCAAACTCATATTTACTTTAGTGGATGTTACATTTGTGGATGGATTGCAGGTTTGGCCTTCTTGTGAAAGAGCCTGCAATAAGCAGCATTTTGGGGCCTTTGGATGTTGGGTGAAAGGCAGCAAGGCTGAGTCATTGCCTAAGCTGAGTATGTCATACTGAAGAAAAGAAGAAACAGTGGTGAACTGACCGAAGAGAGAAGAACTTCACCTCAGGGGAAAGAAGTTAGTCTAATTCTGAGAGGAGCAAGCCTTAAAAGAAGAAGTATTTTGGTGCTTGTAGTAGAGTCAAGCAGAAACCAACTTTTTGCATTCTGACCCACCTCTGTCCTCTACCAGGTGTCAAGCTGTCTTGAGTGCTCAAATTTTCTACAGCTGTCAAGGTTTAGGGTCAGAGCCATCACCTAGACCTACAACAGATTCTCCCTGTTAACCCCTCTCCCTTCCCAAAGGGGAAGAGAAAGGGAATAAGGGAGAAAGGCTTGTGGATTAGAATAGAACTAAGTCTGCTTTGAAGAAAACGATAATAAAATGGAATATATACCAATATATACAAAACCAGTATCAAATCCAGCTCCTCTGATGGCAGTTCATCACCGTCACTCGTGATGCTGGAGAGCAGGCCCTGGGGAATAAGTCCCAGGCTGGACTCAGTGGCAGATGGCAACTGGTTACAGGAGCTGGATTCTGGAACTCAGTTCAGGAACACACATCAGGAGTGATGTCAGAATGGACAGAGTCCTCCTCCAATGCTAGCCATTGAAGAAGAGAGCTTTACCCTTGTCATCCCTCAGCTTTACTCTAAATATGAGGGATATGGGATCAAACACCTTGTTGGTCAGTTTAGGGTCACCTGTCCTGTCTGCTCCTCCCTCCAAGTGCAGCTTTTACTTTCTGCCCCCTTGGAGTGGTACACAGGGTTTAGCAGTGACCTTGGTCTGCACACCAGTCCTTGATGGTAACGCTAAACACGGAGTGTTATCACTGCTAGGAGCAGACACTGTTTGTGAAAATCTGCTGTGAACTTCAGAAAGTGCAGTTAGAAGAGACTGAGCTGAAAAGTAAAGTCACTGAACAGAATTAGTCCTGTTCTAACTCAAACCAGGACAACAGTAGTGGATTTTCTCATTTTGGGCTCAGAAAGCTCAGCAGTGGGAAGTATTTTAGAATGTTCAGAAAGTGATTATTATTAGGAAAATATATGAGAGTTTAAATCTAATTTTCAGGCAGCTGTGGTTCCAAGGAAATGTTTAATGTAAAAGTATTCCCATGTATTTCCATGGCATGTGAAGTTCCATGCACTGGGTAACATTTGTGCTGGGTAGCACAGATGTCTTCATCCAAACAGAAATGATTAAGAGAGCATAAGAAGTAGACTGTGGCTAAAAGCATGACCTAACTTGGTTAAAGGAGGTATTATTTTGCTGGAAGACTTCATGTTTGTTTCATGTATTCCTAAACTCATGTATGTGTAAATTATTCATATTCTTAAATTAGCTCATTTGAAAGCTGTTTCTACCATAAAGAATGCATCTACTTTTAGAGGTTTTAGATTCCATGTAGTATGTTATTTTTGAATAATATGTAAAGTAATATCTGATTTATAAAATAATTTATGAAGACCAGAAGTAATAGTGAAAAGGATTTAGGGTTCTAGATCACTGTCTTTAGAGTTCTCATTACATACTGGCGTTCTGAATACATAGTACTGTGTATTTGCAGTATAGACTTAGTATTCAGAAAATGACATCCAAAGTATCCCTGTCCTAATTTTAAGGTGTCTTGTTAGAATCCATGGTGTACTGTCTCAAGCCAGATCACCTTGTTTTTCATCTTTAAGAGCACAGTAAGCCAATGCAATCTTCTTACTTAGTCAGAAAACCACACTGAAGTGTATAGTCAGCTGTAGACACACTGAACAACACTGAACAAATTTTCAGAAGTTTCCATTACTACTGCTTTATATTAAAAATGGATGAAGGATAAAGCCTAGGAGAGTTCAAGGCACAGAGAAATTGTAAACCAGCAGTTTTGTGTGGAAAAAAGATGTGCTTACTTGTCCTCCGTATTTCAGTTTGCTTCTGCAACTGGTGGCCATCCCGCTTCTGAAGGAGGTTAAGGGCCCAGGTGGACAGCCTGACAGAACAAGATTCATTTTCACATATTCAGGGCAACTCTATGTGGATTCATAGATTTGTCTGAGCATGTGAAATTGTTGGATCCAGACCTTATATATGTCAGCAGGAGTTGCCAGTCTCTAGTGGGATTGAATAACGCAAGGACCTCAAACAGTCTGTGTTAGATAATAATCTTGGGAATGTTACTTGAAGTAAGCTACTTGGGTTACTTCAAGCTTGTTTCTTAACTTCCTGGTATTTTTGTCAAAACCTTTTACTGGTTATTCTCATGTCTTAATGATATTTCTTATGCTTTGGAGTGGAAGTTTAATTTACAAACTGTTTAAATAAAAGAGCAAAACTTAAATAATTTTAATACTTTGAAAGGGCATTATTTCAGTCTTCTTTTTCAGCTGAATTTTTTTGCTTAAGTAGTAGAGTATAAGCCAGAAACATGGTTTAGAGTGTAGGTTTGGATACAATAGCGTAATTCCTACTATTTATTAATCAGGCATTACTGAATGCATATACTATGGAAGTACCTCTAGCCACATGAATTTTCTTAGAAAAAATTTCTAATTTTTCTTGTTTTTCGAACCCTAACTTTCTGAGAAAATTCATGTGGTTAGAGATACTTCCATTGAATATGCATTCAGTATATGTATATGTCGGTTGTCACTGACATGAGTACTTTTTATGTACAGAATTCAGAATGCTTCTTAAAAATGAGTCACCGTGATTCAAGACCACTTGCCTCAATTTAATATTGGTTTTGTTTGCAAGCAAAATTAGTATGTTTAAAATATTGCGTGTATGCTAGACTTAGGTGAAGGGCATATTCAAGGCAAGTGTGTTTCCAGCATTTATCAAATCACTAGCCACAGCAGCTGACAGTATGCATGTCCTGACTACCTGGTGGTAGCTTAAAATTTATTTGCAGTTTCTCAACTAAATGTTACTTAGATCTCTCTTGTCTTAAACTGCCATAGTGCTTGGGGAGATCTGGTCAGATGTGGACTAGGCATAGGACAAGTTAGTGATGCTCTCATAACCTTTTTCATGCTCGTAGCTGAAGGAACTGTCATTATCATTTGCAGACATTCATAATAGTGTTTCCGTATTTGCTCCTGCAAATAGGCAATTTTTATAGAGAATTAATGCTGCAATTAAGTGTTGTTTATGGTGTCAGAATTGACTCCCTCCCACTGAGGTCACCTCACTGCTTGAACTATCAGTTTCAGTATTTGATACAAGTGTTTCATTCATGCTTAGACTTGTTAACCTGTCTGGACTTAAGTACAGACATGAAGAATATACGCTCTGGAGTAATGAGATTTAGGTTAAGACCTGCTCTGTTGCAGAGGCAGAACCACAGGTTGGATGATACCTCTGTCTCCTCAGGCTTGGCATGATGCAGACAGCCTGATGGTGTTGGCCAGAACTGCTCTGCAGCACTCTCTTCCTGTGGGAACATAATACCAGGACTTATAATGGCTCAGGATTCACTTGAACCCAGATGTCTGAACTCCAGGCTGGATGCAGTCCAGACTGTCAAGGTTGTTTCTGCACATCTGGCAAACCCAGTTACAATTTGGTTTATATTTTCAAATACTATTTAAGCAGCAGTGTACCAGTAAATGATTTATTTTCTAGTAAAATCTTAGACTGCAAGTAACAAGAAGGCATTGTGAGAGGAATTTGATACCAGCATCTTCCAGGTGAATATAGACCCTGATGATACCTTCTTGAGCAAATAGAGTTAATAATAAAAAATACCAATGAACAGGAACATTTTCTGCTATTGTCACTATGTAAGGAATGTGTATTTGAAAGCTGAAAGTGTGTTCAAATATATATTTAAAATTTTTATGGTAAGGGTTATATTTGGAAAACACTTCTGCTGTGTTACAGAGGATTTTTATTTTGTAAGTCTTATGTTGTTACTGCAATCTGATTATTCCAGGAGTGAAGAACAGCAGGTGTTTGATGTAGAAAGCAGCAGGGTGCGAGCTTTGACTGGGAATAT